AGAATGCAACTTCATGTTTTGCTTCCTTTCGATCTCACGTCTTCAGCAGAACCACACGTCGTCTCCCTGCACATATCCGTCGTCATTCCCGTTTAGGGTAGCGCTTTCATTTTCGTAACACGCGATAATTTTCTGAAAGCTGACCTTCGATAGCGTCGACAGTTGACCAATTGCCAACTTTCGATAGTACTAGTGATAGCCGATTATCGATAGTCCACTATCGATAGTTTTCGACGCTATCGATAACTGTAGAAAAACTACATGGATAGTCAATTTTTCGATAGTTTTTTTATCACTACTTCGAACGCCTTCAACGAACGCAGTGGAGACAAAGTCAGCTAACTTTAGGCCTACCCACTAATCCTTCCAATCAGATTGGGGGAACTTTTTTTTTATGCAGCGCCACCGCACGGCAGCGGGAAAATCCAGGCCACTGTTCCTTTGTCCCGCTGTCCTATCTGCTCGTATGTCATGCAAAAGACGTAATGTCCGCTGCAGATGGCACCATGGAATTATCTGCAGTCACTTAAGCCTCTTACGACGTCTTAGGACCTGCTCCGCTGCAGCGCATCCGGTCCTAAGAGATCGCAAGAGGCTTAAAAACCGGTCTGGCCTCTCTCGGTCTTACTCGGTTGCATATGTGTGAACGGCGCTTTATACGTTGCTTCGAACATGGATAAAAAAGGTTCAGCCGTTCCACTCTGGTGAAAAAGGAAAAGCAGCGGAGCTGTACTATGTGCCGCCATCTATGAGCGACGGTGGCAACCAGAAAAGCGTCTGGTTGCCGCCGTCGCTCATAGATGGCGGTAGCTGTCCAAAGCGTTGTGTCGAGATTTATTTGTCCACGGACACGAACTGGGGAAACTAGAGCTTAACAGCTCAGCTGTAAGACGAGTTTTTGTATATGACTAATGTGACACAAGAACAGACAGTGTCTACAGACTGTCTCTTGGTCCATGCATTCTTACTGTTTCACCACGGGTTTTCGGGCGTGAGTCACGCTACGAAACGCTGTATACATGTAGCCTAAACGGGTCAATTTTAGGCGCCGTTCGTCATGCTTATGCTTGCAGTGAATTTCTGCGGATCGAAGCTAAACGACTTTCACTCTTCGATGTCTCGAATCTGCCACAGACAAGGACACGTTTAAGAAATTCTGATCATCGGCGTCGACTGCACGACGACTTCCTGTCAGAACGTGACAGAAATATCCAAGGGACTAACAAGCTCACTCTTTGATGGGGATATTCTGTAATATGCTACCACACTCTAGACTAAGAACTTAACTAAAAACAAAACTTATCTCCTTGATCTAGTTATGTTTCTTCTTCACCTTCCCTTCTTGTATGACGAGAGCCATTACTCGTCAAATAAATAGGAAAAAATAGTTGTTGTTGATGTTGTTTTTTGAGGGGGGAGGGGGGACTGGTTTACTAGATCTCCCATAACTTTCAATTCTGACCGAAAGATACTTTTAGCCTTGCTCAACACAAGATGCCATAAACGTGATCGTTTCTTTTCACCCCTTCGGTTGTTCAAAATCATACAGTAACAGTTCGCGCACTTGTAATTTCGAAAAAGAGAGAAAGAGAGAGAGAGAGAGACTTGACTCGGGTTTTCTCTTGACTCGAGACTTGACTCAAAACTTGATTCGAGACTTTTTCGGGCTTGAGCGAAAGGAAGAGTGGAGATGACTGCTCTCGTTTACAGGATGATAGCTGATGTAAGATTTTACAGCGGCAAGTTTCATACCTAACAGCAGGGATTCGATCAAACATCTTTCTTCTATTAATTCTTATATTACAGCGGTAGCTGTTAGTGGGACATTTCGCGGTTTCGCGTCGTCAACCACGCGTCATATCGATGGGGGCCATTTTCCGCACTCCGCCAAAACGCACGGGCCACTGATAACAAGATAACAAACAAGCAAGCTAACATGCAGGGTAGCAAGATAACATGCATGGTCAGTAAAACAGTCCCTACGGGGAAATCTGGCAGTGCATGTGCCCATGTGGTGCCACATAGGTGCCCATGTGACCCATAGCAGAATTAGCGCAAAAATCGATTCTCGGGAATTACGCAGATAAAACTGCCTTAAAATTTTACGATGCATTTTGTGTTTGAAAGCAAGAGGAAAGCAAGTGCGTTAGTGGCCAATCAATGCATCGGACAGATGAAGTTTTATTTTCGAAACGAATAGCCACAAATATGTGTTAATGGTGTGTGTTTGTTTCCCTAAATATTCATTTGAGAGTGCACTTCGTCTTGCCTACTTCACTGTCCCTGATTGTTCGGCGCTTTTCGCTTATCACGTGTGACTATTTGTACCGAATCGGCGTGCGAACACACTCTCCCCTCTTACGCAGACAACTGAAATTCTCTCTACTTCATACACCCTCATTGTTTTCAAAACGCCATAGAATTTTCGTCCGGTGCCTTACTCGGTTTAATACGAAACGCCCATGCGGATTCTATGGTGAGCGGTCGCACCTTTACTGTTCATTCAGTCCATCTGCTCCGAAATGACACCTATAGGTGCTCCAACCTCACACCCACGGTGCTCACACCTCAGCTGTCGCTGTTTCATCTTACACTTCAAGAAATGCCTGCTCGTCTACTTACCCGCAAAACACTCAAAGAGTCAATCTCTGCGACCTAGGAAATCAGCTGGAGAGAATGATGAGGCGCAACATCTGTTTAGACATGAAAATGAAGTCTGCGCTGTAGCATTACGCAATGCAAAGCGTCATGCTCACATTGCGTAATGCCACAGCGCAGACTTAAGTTTCATGTCTAAACAGACGTTCCGCCTCATCATCCGCTCCAGCTGATTTCGTAGATCGGCAGAGATTGGCTCTTTGAGTGTTTTGCGGGTAAGTAGACGCGCAGGCATTTCTTAGAGGGTAGGGTTGCGCAAGCCTCCACAATTCTTTTTTTATTTTCATTATTATCATTATAAAATTGCGTTGGATAGATTTTTGTGCACGTTGCGATCCATTCTCATCGCAAAAGGCCACAAGTACTCAACAGGTAACGCTATTTAGTCTTTAGTAACACGGCAAAACTTGCAACAAAGGTATCGCGCGTGCCCTATTAGCGGCGAGATGTTTCGGTGGCGCCCTAGTTCGGTTACCTTTCGTGACGTCATTACCTTGTGAACAACAAGTTCGATGGTGTTTGTAATGGGCATTGTGGAAGCCTGAAATCACAGCGCTCTCAAAGCAACACCGCCAACACCGTCAAAATTGAAATTCTTACATTCCTCTTATTTCCGTCGATGAGACATCCTTTGCTGACGTCATTGTCAGCATTCGGCCAATTGTGGCAGGCCGACCACAGCGACACTTTCGTTTGCTCACGTCGCCAACGCTCCACAAATAGGACGTCCCTTTTCTCGGTCCTTGATGTCCCGCACTGCCACGTTCCCTTGTGCTACGCGTCCACGTCTGCTAATGACCTCGTGACTAACCTTGAACTCAAGCGGCATCGCTGAACCTCAGAGACGAACCCTAATGGATCTGAGAGAAACACAAATGCGACTTTTATTGTGGGGAAGATTACGAGATCGTGATGTTGTCGCTTTTATGAAAGGGCGTGTTCTGCCCGTGTTCTGAGAAACGTGTCTGCGCTTTAACTTTCAATTTGTGATACAAAAATTGAACATTTCACAAATTTCCGGTTGTCTTGTTTTTTTTTTTAATACAATTTTTTTTTATAGTTAGTATTGTAATTCAACAAACAAAATAGAACATAACATTAGCAGCTCAACCCCACGGTTTAAGCGAGTGTGATGTAAGCACGTGAAACATCGTACTCGATGTCAAAGAGCAGGGTGCGTTGTTTTTTTAAAGCCTAAACATATTTTCAGCCTCGCCAATCGCAGATCTACCTCTGTAGATTGCAGTGATTGGCTCTGCCAAGTGCTTTGCGGGAGAGTAGACGCACAACATTCAGGGCGCAGCGACACGCCCCGCCAGAGGCATATCTTCACACATGTAATTATTGCAAGAAATGCATGACAAAAAAAAAAAAAAAGAAGAAAAGAAAAAACAACAAAAAAGAGAAACTTTAATCTAGAAAAAAGAATTAAAAAAAAAGACCGGAGTGGATAATTTACAGTTGAGCAAAGAGAACAAGTTAACCGCCTTTTCTGTACTTTTATTTCGTGTTAGATTTATCACACTCCTAAGACATTTTCGAGTATGAAAATAAAGACTGGGGATACTGGGAGAAATGCGAGTATTGTGCGTCCTGTTATCTTTACGTTTATCGGACGATTGTAAACAATTTCAGAAGTACCTGCAGCTCCAGGCTGGGAGACGAGAGCATGACTCCTCGATGCCGCATTTAATTGCTCCAGTTCCAAATATATTCGGTATTTTGCGTCAAGACCGTTTAGAGAGTTTGAACCTGCTTTCTCTCGTGCTTTAGTCAGATACGAAATCCAGATTTCGATAACATACAAAAGTAACCCGCCTTTGTAAAAAAATAATATAAATAAAAAATAAACGACAATATTGCGGTTAATCATGGAGACCTATAGACGTTGAAAGTCTACGCACTTTCGAACAACAACAATCCCATGTATTGAGAGAAAGTGATGGAGGCTCAATATCGACTCAAAGTCAGTCGAAAACACGACAGAGCCAGTGAAGAAGATGCGACGAAAGCGGAGCAAACGATTCCGCCCATTCGATGTCAAAACAAACAGAAACCGGTCCCCACCAAATCGAAGAAAACCTCGTGCAGAACCCGGGAAGGACACGAATTCCCGACAGTCCCTACACAAAAATGTTCCCCCCTCGATTACCCGACTTCATCAATACACGGGCAATCGCCCCACCGAAACACCCGCAATCCGAAGCTGCGGATCAACGCCCGCGGCCCCACCGGTCCGTTCTGCCACCACGACCGTCGCTTCCAGCCGATCGAAACCGACTCGCGGTCGCGGTATCCAGCCCCCGCACAAGCGTGCGGCGCCCTCGCCGGCGAGCGGAGACGACCGCCGCCGCTACGAGACAACACAGTTCCATGCCGGCTCCCAGCGACCTCGCTCAGTCGACGCGCGACCGCCGAACCGCGCGCTACGTTCCCGCTGGTCCTCGTCGCTGTCGTCGCATGGCCGCATGGCATCGGCGCTAGCGTCCCCGTGTCCCAACGGGCCTTCGTCCAACGGCCACCGACTCACGGTACCAGGATCGCAGGGCCCCAGGGACCGTAAGCTGAGCCTGCCCTTGCAACTGCAGAGAAGACCGTCACTCTCGGGATACGCCGCCGCCGTTGAGTCAGCGAAAGAGGATGCTCGGCGTCGCAAGTTCAGCCAGGTGGGGCAGGCGATGTCCCACAGACTGTCCACCACCATCGGGCTGAAGCTGTACACGGTGACGACCCAGGAGGTCGCCGAGCAGGCCAAGAGCCTGTGCGGACGCTACCTGAGGGCGAAGTTGAGGACGTGCGGTGCGGTGCACAAGAAGCTGGGCCTGCAGAGGCTCAAGAGCGTGAGCAACCTGTCCATTGGGTATCCGACGGCCGACGTGGCGCAGAGGCTCAGGCTTGTCTGCACGGAGCTGGAGAGGAATCATCCCGATCTCTATCAGGTGGGACTTGCTTGATGTTCATCTGTGTCACTGACAGTTTACGAAACGCAGGGTGAGCTCCGAGCAATGAGGTAGTGCTATGAGCCGATAAGAATGCCAGAAAAACGCACAAAATCGGGAACATAAGCAACCACACCTCGCGTTTCTGAAACTGCCAGTGACTTTAGTTGTACACGCAACAGGTGACGTTTCGTGCGGTGCCCAACCTAGGGGACGTCCAACTTTAGATGTACGCAAAAGACAGTATAGCGGCGTTCGATAGACAACGTTGAGAGACGGTTGGACCCTACAGGTACGTAACAGGTTGATGCACTTTGTGCGTGAGCATTTCTGCGTGCGTCATGGATTTGACGCCTGCTCAACATAGTGTATCGATGGACTAAATCTGTATACCCTGTCTCTATCAAGATTTGGTGTACCATTTGACCAGTTATAAGCCCTGCACTGCGTATTTTATATGACGAGACTACAGAAAGAAACGTCGGACTATACGTGGAACGCTGCCGATGTGTCCTGTAACGATCATCTATTTTTTTCGGGGACGGAACATATACAGCTACATAGCTGATTTTTCATGCCGTGATTATTTGTAGCACCTGTAATCATTAAGAAGCTCCTTGCGCGTTGAAGGAAATTTTTGACGAAATCATTTCTTTCGGGAAAATTTCGTTCGCGGCAGCTGTCCGTGATCGATGATTTTACGAGCAGATATTTTATTCCGTTCCCGAGACCCGTTTTATCACGAGGAACTTTGGATATCTTACTTAATTTCAGATCGATAATTACTATGGCTTCTGCGTCACGCGCGGGACATTATATTACGAATTCCTTCGTATTTCCTCGGTACCTCTTACTGCAGGTAATTTTGATGGATCCCTGCCATAATAGGCGATGTGCGAATCCATACATCGATTCCCCAACGTCTGAACGCACTTTGATCGATAAAAAAAAAGAAGAAAGAAACAAAAAACTTATTCCATGTCACTAGAATTGAGAACTCGATGGCAAATGGCTTTTAAGACCCGACCCCTTTCATGTAGGAGGGCTCAGTATATGTCATAAAATGTTTTCTTATTTTTCGTTTCTTTTTCTTTTTTTACTTTAAGCCGCGTCATAGCATCGTTCCACCAGCTGAAAAATGTTCAAATTTGAATTTGCGCCGATGCTTGAGTCGAATTTCGCGTTTCGGGTTCGATACCGCAGCGTTTCCTGTTCAGGAAAGCTTTCTTCTCGAATCGGAGAAGGAAAGAAGTCCAAGAGGAAGTCGTGTGCAGTTCAGAGAGCCACCGATGCTTTCGGCATACCTTCTTTGTCTCAAACGAGCCTTACTTCGGTGTGTTGAAAGATGTTGCGTCACACCTGGTGGTGCGGACGGCTGGAGGATGGCTCGCGTTACATAATGCCTCCCCTTAAAGAGAGTCGGCAAGTTTCCAGGTCAAACGATGCCCGCCAATTATACTTCGGCTAAATACAGTTCACTCGTGACGCTGGAGGGGGTTATTTACCTCCCGCACTGTTTCTTTAGAATGCGCTCTAGTGTCTTTTGGAGTGTAGGCATTTACTTGAGACACAGAAGAATCGTAGAGGCATGACCACTGCTACAGCCGACATATCTCAATTCATATATTTGACACCTTATAATTGCCTGTACTCATCAATTTCTGGTGACATTGCATTGTTTTAAAAGTTAGTTTATGCATTTGTACCTGTACAAACGTTTAACAAAATTTTCATATTAAAAAAAAAATAATAATATGGCCTCCAGGTGATATTATCATTATTATTGGGAATTATGGGGTCGTTAGCAATGTCTACACGAATAGTGTCTGCGCCACGGGATGTTCGTTAGCTCTCCTGGAAACGCTTATATGTATGTGCATTGTATGTCATGCTGACAACTATTACCACTTTAAATTAAATCCTAGACACCTCTTCACCAACAATTTCTAGTGAACAATGCGTGCTGTGTTCATGTCGTCTATGGCCAACGAGACAAACCGAAATAATATTTGTTTTCGCTCTAAAAACGATAACAAAAAAAGCAAGTTTTAACCACTGTGTCAGAATCTCCGGAGGCATCGCAGGGGCTTCTTAGGCCACTGAGAAAATCTTGCGTGGTTCATACTTATAAAATATTTAAAAATATTAAATACAGGAAGAGTGGTCGGGTTGAAAACACTAGGAAATGGCGAGACAAGCTCTTTTAGGTGACAAGCCAGGCATTCTTTGACGTTGGTCAATACTTCAGCTTGGGCGAGTTGGCGAATCATGCTAATTCTTCACAGCGCACAAAAGACAACACACTATAAAAATACATATACACAAAGGTACATACACACGGAGCGCTGCGTGAGAGTTGTTTCTTTGTCTGTATGTATTTTTATAGTGTGTTGTCTTTTGTGCGCTGTGAAGTATTAGCATTCTTTGACGGTTGCACTCTGCTCATGGTTATTCTACTTATATTGCCTTTTTAAAGTTGCGAACTACAAGTAATATGTTGGAACGAACACTTTCAACGACAGAAAACGTCGGGTTTCATACAAAAAGAAAACTTCCGTGAAACTCATGCACATATATCAAGTATCTTTCGCAAGATCACATTTATTGAGTCCAGCCAGCAAGAAAGAACGTCAGCAGAGGAAACACTTCTAGCTGCCCAGTTTGACATTGCTAGTGTTGTGAAATCAGTGTAATTGTTGGCCGCTTTAGATCAGAAAAAAAAAATATTAATAGAATTTTTCTAGAATAGAATTCTAGAAAAATGAGTAATATGAAACGCATATGTGTCTCACATCTGCGCGTCTGCTCAGAATACGTTTTTTTGGTCTTTCACTTGTTTTCTCTCGATGATACTAAGCAGCAATATTCTGTTGTAACGTCAAATCAAAAACGGCGTGTAAAAAAAAAAGTTTTTATGAGGGAGTGCAGTGCGTCAGCGGACAGCTGAAACGCATTGCTGCAGCACGAAAACACACGCGCAGGTAGTTGCTGTGGAACGGACTGCTGTACGGTGTGCGCGCGTAAGTTGACACAGGTGTTCTTACTAGAAGACGCAACTGACTGGGGAAAAAAAAAAACATACATTTAATTTCCGCGACTCGTGGCACCGCACGCAGCGTGGTTGCTATGGCCGCCAACAGGTTCAGAGACACGGGATGTGGGCACCTGTTGTCCCATGGCCGACGTGAGCGCGCAGCCTTTGCTCGTGCGGGTCGCTCACGTGACTTCTTTCGAATAATCAAGCACTGTAAATTTAGAATATATATATATATATATATATATATATATATATATATATATATATCGTCAGGAAGGCCGGAGTCCGGCCTTCCTGACGAAGGCCGGACGTCGAAGATTAAATCGTCCGTTGTTGCTGTTTTTTACTAAGGGTTTTTTTCTTCTCAGTTTTATACCCACGCCTTCGGCCTCCCGCCACCATGCCCGTTATATATATATATATATATATATATATATATATACAAGTTTAGTTTTCTGAAGCACACGGAGACAGCCAATCATGGCGAAGAAAAGTAGGATCCCAGTGAATTACAAAACTCAAAATATGACAAGATAAAAAAAAAAAGCGATATGCTCAGGGCTTAGCATAAAGAAGGCTACACTTCAAGAAATGCCTGCCCGTCTACTTATCCGCAAAACACTCAAAGAGCCAATCTCGGCGACCTACGAAATCAGCTCAGCGAATGATGAGGCGCAACATCTGTTTAGACATGAAAATGAAGTCAGCGCTGTGGCATTACGCAGTGCAAAGCGTCATGCTTGCATTGCGTAATGCCACAGGGCAGACTTAATTTTCACGTCTAAACAGGTGTTGCGCCTCATCATTCGCTTAGCTGATTTCGTAGGTCGCAGAAATTGGCTCTTTAAGTGTTTTGCGGATAAGTAGACGGGCAGGCATTTCTGAAAGTGTATGCTCGGGGGTAATGAGCATGACGTTTCATTTGTTCGTTTTTTCTTCACACATCGAAATTTTCTTATCTAATCCTATTTTGGACTTTGTTACGCGCTGGGACCCTTCTACCGTTCACCGCGATTGGTTGTTTTCTCGTTCTGGAAGAAAGTGGACTCGCAGGCGCCTTTGTTTACGGAGAGATTCGTCCCATTTGAACAACTAGCGAATTCTGCGAAACCGCGTTAATGTTTTATTTACTAAGAATGGCACGAAATGATTCACAAGGAAAGTGGTAATAACTATGAGGAAGCAATTGTAGCCTTCACCTGCTCGCCTAAGAAGCAACTTACATCTATAGTTGAGTCGGAATTACCTATATCGTGTACCAGATAATTCGCCTATAAAGTCAGAGACTGCGACTCGGAGTTGGCTACACGTGAGTAGCTGCAACCTTCTACCTCGCCGGACTGACAATCCAAGCTGCATAATACGTAATATTTATCGAGCGTACGCGTTAAATGTCTCAAGCTGAAAATAGCTTTTCAGCAGTTCAATCCGCGACCATTTAGTCATAGCCTCTTCTGTGCTGACAAAACCTGGCAAATCGCCACGAGAAGGGGCCGCCGAAATCGAAAAGGTAGAGCGGCAGACAACGGATGAGAGGAGAGCCACGTGACGGGCGCCCCGCTGCGGCGAGACGCCGAAACACACTTCTCCCGAGCGACGGAATGTCCGCTCGTGCTCCTCGCGTTCGTCGCGCGACCGCTTCTTTTCTCGTCGGGTTTGAAAACCACGTTTCGGGTCCTCGCCGCTGCAAAAGTTGTGCGCTGACGTCCAGGTTCCCCAAGAAATGCTCTGCGCTACCAGATCCTCGCGCTCCAAATCTGTTATCAGACACTCTATGACTCCGTCGTGGAACTGCCAGGCTTTGTTAGTATAGAGCAGTGTTGTACGAAACGGCGTTCCTGGAACGCGTTCCTTTTCGGAGGAACGAAGAAACGCCTCCGTTTCATTTTTCATCGGTGGAACTGGAACGGGAACTCGTTACATTTTTACCGGAACGGAAAAAGGAACGGTGTTCATTTTTTTC